GAAATGCTTAGAACATATAGGAAAATAAATGAGAAAACTCAAATTTTAAAGGTCACCAAAATGTATAATTCATCAGTCCTTTAAGAATTAATACAATGATTTGTCAGTAATAATCTTTGGTACAAAACTTATTCTCAAGAAAACACGAAAAAAATAAAACCAAAATCATGACATATTTTGTTTTAAGTTTGATACACCCAAATCAATATTGAAAAATAAATAAAAATAAAAAATTCAACAACATAACTCTAACAGAATGTAAAAAAAAAAAAATAATAATTAATAAATAATAATAATCATAGATTAACACACTAAAATAATAATATTAAACACTACCAGTTTGTTAAATTAAACATACTCCTTAAGTAATATAAACTGAAAACTTTATAAGGAACATTTAGCAGCTAACTTAATGATCATAATGCGCTTAAAATCTAAAAACTTATCATCGTTAAAGAAAATAATAATAATAAAAAGAAAACAAAGATTCATGAAAGAGGAAAAATACATCYGTGTTAAAAACTTAAAATTAAGTTTTGATAAATTCGCATAAACCACCAAGTTTAAAATAATATTAAATTTGTTAATTATTATTTTACATTAAAAAAAATATATGAATGTATAACTATGTAAGAACACATTAAAATTAATAATACTTGATAATGATTTGAAATTAGTAATTTAATTAAGTTTATTTTGCATCAAACGCATGTATTTAATAATGCAGCGACCTATCCAATGTGGTAAACTTAGTTCGAAAAAAATTGTGTTTGAAACTTTGAACCTATTTCAGAGAAAATATTTAAATATTCTTTTTTTTAGATAAAATACTATCTGTCTATCTTTAAATACAGAATATGACAAAAGGACAGTTTTTAGCAAGATGAGCTCTTGAGTTCACCAAGTTCGGCAAGCAGTCTATGGTTGATATTGGGACTTGGACTATTAGTTTTTCCATTGGTGATTTGGTACCGTTCTTTTAGCTGGCTTAAAGCATTCAACAATCGGTTGTTAGCTGCGTCTAATGCAGCAATCTGGTGTTCTTGGGCCTCAATCACACGCTGCTTGTGAGTTARTGTGTCAGACATTTTACGCTGCTCACGTCTCAGTTCATCTTCCACAGACATCAATCTAAAAAATAACATTTTAATTTGTTGTTTAATCCATTAGACACAAAWACACAATGATACTAACCTAGCTATTATGTTTTTCATATTATCTGGTTCATTGTCTATAATTTCTGGTGAATCTGGTTCTGATTCCAATTGCTGTTCGGCCTGTTCTAATTTTAATTTAAGTATTTGCACATTGGTTTGAAGACGTTCAATCTCTTTCTGGTACTAAATTTAAATCGTTTATATGAGTAAAATATATTTAATTATAACACTAATTTATTTACGCTTATCTGATCGATGGAGCGATTAGTTTTCAATTTGTTGGCAATATTTTGATTTCTTGTGTCTTCGTCCTCAGAAGAGTCTTCAGACATTCCACGACTAGAATCAATGGACACACGCCTTCTTAAAGGCATTTCAGCAGGACACACTTTTTTAACATCTGTATAGAACATTTAAAAAATTAACAATCAATAAAATCACCATTAAYATAAATGAGCATGACATACCACTAGGTAAACATTTAGGATTAGGGCTGACTCCGTTGACTTTGCTTGGAGACCATTTCCAAGCTAATGATCTGGCCATACCACCTCCATTACACTGTGGATTAGTTCTTGGAGMTCGRTGGGGAGGTAGGAATCTTGGCGCCACTTGAGCTACTTTATCATTAACCGGAGTATTCTCATCTTCAGAAGAGCTACATGACCGTGGTCGCTGTTTTCTTTGGTGATGATGATGGTGATGGTGATGGTGATGATGTTGATATACAGGATTGACAAATGCCAGAGGAGGCAAAGCAGCATTGCCATTAGCCAWTGGCGGTTTGCTATTGTTATTGGTCAAATCGACAGGACTTGAGCTCTGACTATATGCTGCAAAACTCTGATAACCAGAAGATGCTACATTTGATAATGTGGATATGGACATTTGGCTTCCCTTTTGCTGTGGGTCGATTTCAACATCAGAACTGTGACCATTATTATGATTGATATGATGATGAGGAGTGAATCCATTGTACGTGGTAACTGGTTCATCAAATTTTAGCTTGGGACAAAGTTGTAAATTAGGAGAACCTGGGTTAGACGAGAAAAATGCATTGCGGGGTAGAGTTGACGCACGAGTCGTATTGGTCRTAGGACGTTTTTCACACAACAATGTAGAACTTCCAACCAAATTATTTGTGCTGTTTAAAGATGACCCTTGAGTTGACCCATACAAACGTTGAGCACCATCTTTCAAAGTTGGATCATTATATCTAAAATCAAATACAAATMAAATATTATTATTGTTAAATTCAAATTATATTAATCAATTTGCTCCACATCCTACACACCTAAAAATGTTTTGATGTTGTACAGGCTGGTAAACATTATTCTGTTCATTAGATGGTTGATTTTCAATAAAACTTTTTAATGGTGWTCGAACTCCAGCRGGCTGAGCAAGTGCTAATTGTATTCTTTCTAGTATCATGTGCAACTTTTCTACTTCCTGAAGACGTACAGGGGATATTTTTTCCACACATTCCATCAACAATGTATGAAGTATGCTCAATTGTTTTGCAAGGTCGATATGTCCATCAAACTCAGTTGAGTGGTCTTGTGGAGTTGAAAAACCATTTGGAACAGGRGTCTGCAAATGTGATGAGAAAGTTTATAAATAWTTGATACAATATAAAAATATGTAAACATATTTCTTTTAAATAATAAAATTAWCAATAATGAGCTTATATGATYGAGATTTAAAWTGAGACTAACAGATATAATTTTCAAGAAAGATTTCATTGAAGCTGCTTCACGTTCCAGAAAATCGTTCATAAACTCCATAAAATTTTCTTTTCCTTGAAATCGTGTGAAATTAGCCAAGGTTTGCAGTGTTTTTGCTACCAATGTCAAATTTCTTGCTGCTTTTTCATTAGGATATTCTATGAATGAWACAAAAATTMATTTAAATAAATGTTATMTAAATATATGAATATAAATAACTCACCATGCGTAATGTTGAACAGGCTAGGAGACAAAATGGCTGGGCACAAAAATCTCAAAAAAATACACGCTGAAATTAAATTGTCACTAATATCGTGRCGACCAGAGCCATTCATACGTTCACGAAACCTTGTGAAACACTCCCGAAGTTCACTAAAACAAAATCAAAACTTAAAATGAAACAATACATGTGRTTATAAAAATATAAATAATCTCATACAATGGAAATGACGTATGGGAAGAGAGTATACGATTCCATGTGGTTTCAACGGCATTCCTTAAATTGGCTTGCTGTTTGGCCAAATTTGACGCACTACCCGCTTTTAAAGGATCCACTTCGCAATCGAAACCAGTTTGCATGACATTTGATACAAGTTCACTCAGAGTCTCATGTAAATATTTTTCTCCAGTTAACTTCAAGTATGCTTCCATTGCCTTAGTGGCTAACGAATTCCCCCTAAATGTCAGACGATCATCTTCAACCTTTTCAATATCCATCATTACAATGTCAGACAGGAACTCCTTAGCTAGGTTCTCCTTTTGCATGACGTGCACCAGAGCCGTGGCGATATCTTCTTTGGCCTTGACGCCAACAACAGGTTCCAAGATTTCACAAATAGTTTTGTAGTCCGTTCTCAAATACTATAACAATAAGATTTTGTGATTAAAGTTTGATTGGACACTCAGGGCAAGGTGATTTAATAATAAAAATTAATAAAAATCACCTGTAAGAATTCTTGATAGATTTGTACGGGAAGTATGTCTACACTCTGAAAACGGCATTTCACTCTTAAGGACGGAGGGTCTTTGAGGGTTTTCTCTGTGGTCACCGGGTACCACTTCTCGGTAAGGAATCTGGATGTGACATCTTGTACCGGAATGCTTACAGTGCCTAAGAGTACAGTAAAAAAAACTCTCAACTAGGATATTTCTAAAAAATGTTAAACAAATAAACTAATATATTACGCCCATACCGACTAAGAAGCTCTTATCCTTTTTCTTCTTTCGCTCGCCTTCTCGATACAAATGCACATTTATGACATTAACTTGTGGTAGACTAGTGAAATCGAAATGTTCTCCCCAAAAACAGAGCTCGGATTTCTGTTTTGATGATGTTCGTGCAAACAGTGTTTTATCCAGACATAGTTCACAAAAATACCTGTGAGGGCCATCAATATTAATAATAATAATATAATCATYATAAATAATGTTTAAAATAATATCGATAATATGAAATATTGAACAATTTGTTTTATTTATTTAAAAATATTTTAAATCTATGTAAAAGGAGTATTATTGTAAATAATAAACGGATGATCAATATTCGATATTAATTATATGCATACGAGTCCATTGAAATTTGAAATGTTTAGAAAAATATGAGAGCAAAGTTAAAATATTATGGGATGTGAAAACCTATTATACTGGTTAAACAAAAATACTTTAATAAGTATACCTCAGAAATAATTTCGACATATGTATATTAAAAATCATTTAGTTTTGTAGAACTGTAACTTTTTTTTTWATCAAAATCAATAAAATTAAAACAGACATAATCACAGTGTGCAGTAATTTGTAGGTTAAATATACGATCTCTTACCTTTTTTTGTTAGCCAACCCTTTGGCTTCTAGAATCCATATTTTCAACGCATTTTCTGTGCGGCGTATGTGCTCCTGGTCGGGTTGTACGGATTTCCTCAAACTGTGCAGAAAACCGATGTGAATATGTTATTGCAATGACAATCAAACGAGTATTTGAAAATGTTCAATAAAACATACCTGTACACCCATTTGTCGCGTTCTTCAGCTGTGCGGCACGAAAAGTACCTTGTGTTACCCGCAGGCAATGTCACCTGGAAACAGTTTTCCCGGCCCAGCACGGACGGATGTAGTGGTTTGATTTCTACACCGCCGCTGCTCAGGTCCAACGATTGCATGATGCTCTGTGACTGGCCAGACAGAAGCGATTCGTGAGAACGGGACGTCCTCAGCCTAGGACCACTGCTCGGGCTAACGTTTCTGTGTTGAAAAAAAAATCATAAAATTGTAATTTTTCGTTATTATTTTTTAGTCCCGAAATCTGKTGATGTACTAGCCATCTCTTCAAAATATTATTACAAACATAAGACTATGGTACCTATCTTACTGCGAACGTGCTCCCTCATTCCCTCTCCCACCATCTCTATAAAAACTTATGTTTATTTAATTGATATTTTTCAAAACGAATACTAGTGACTCRTAGCTACAATTTACATGTAAATATGTTTATTTATTTTTAAACTCGTAATACAAAGATTGATACAACCGATTCATTTTAAAATAATTTTAAAGTTTAACCGARATATATTATTCAAGAAGACTAATTTAAAAGTTAGGACGTTAGTCAGGTAAGGWATAATATAATTCATAATATTAAACACTGAAAGGGGAAAGGTGTAGAATTCTAAAAAAATTCTATTATCAAATAGATGCATCACCCATTTATAACGTGAGGCATTGCACATCATTGCGTCAAACAGATATCAAGCAGTCACACAGAATGGTGTCTTTAGCCTTTGGTTAGAACAGTAGGACTATCACCCACCAGTGGCGGTCCTTGATCAATTCCAGGGGAGGAAATATTTTTCACATTAAATACAATAAGTACTCAAAAATAGAAGTCATAAAAAAATTTATTTCATGTAATAATTTTATATTTTAAATTTAACCAGGGGGGGGGGGCGTTCCACCCATCGCACGTTCAATAGGACCGCCACTGCCACCCACCCTATTACAACCTACAGGTAATATTGTCTTAACACCTGTTAGTGGGGTTTGGTGCCACTGGAAAGTGGTATTTTCAATGTACAATAAAATACATAGGTATTATAATTTATAATTATATTATTCATTTTTCTTACCCATCAGATTCCAGCGCTTTCTTTCGCTCCAACTTCGTGACACTCTTGGTCCGTTTTAGCGGATTTGACCTGAACGACCGTTTTGAAAAGAAATTCTGTTGATAAAAAACTAAATTGTTAGAGTATGTCAAGTAAATTTCGATTTACTATTATCGATGTAAATCACAAATATGTCTCGTATACAGCAATGTACAAGGGGGGAGATATTGAAAAACATTAATTTATAATATTATATTTGTTTTTAAATAAATACATTCACGTTTTATTGAAGAAAAAAAAACGTCAAAGGAAATGTTAGCACCCCACCACTATACCATTTTAAATGCATGTCATAGAAAACAAAATCATCTCGATCGATACAAGTAGGTAGGTATTATTAACCTAACACGCTCACTTATACAAAAATTGCAAACAAAAAATAATATTATGTCACACGACATTGTACAACCGCGTTTTTGGTTTACGACATCGTTCCTACCCATGCTCGAATGATAACAGTTATTTGTGTAGTTTGGAGTGAAAGTTTTAAATAAGGTATTTTTTCCCAAACGTGAAACTGTTTTTTTTTTATAATTGTATGTATACACCTTACATAAATACATAATACAATATAATATTGTATTACGCGCACGAAATACAATAAATCGAGCCACCATATCCTACAAGCATATAATACCCAAAATAACAGCAATCAGTGGGCGTAGTATGCTAGTTTGAAAACGCTTTTCATCCACGACCAACCCATCACATGGCTGACGGACAATACAGAGTAGTTTAGTGATAAAAAAACAATGCAACATTATGATATTTCGTCGAGTATATATGAAAGCGCTCGTTTCCCGGGAAGTCAATTCATTATATTATATATAGCACATTGCACATGAACAAATCGGTATAAAATAAACATTTTATAAAAATCTGAGCTATTTTTTCTCATTACGAATATGATACGCCCAGTACGTACGTAACGTATATTCAATACGTTATTTATTACACCTATAGTTTGCCTATTAACTATCTTACAATGTTAATACTAATTAAATACACACATCGCACACCTTATATAAAAGAAGCACCTACACAGATGCAGAGGCAGAACTAGGAATGTAAAACAGAAACTAAAGTCAACTCGACACGAAAAACCCAACTTTAACAGTCATATTTTTGAAAACTTTACATAAATTAAACACCTACTAGTAATTATTAAATAGTTACTATAAACATGTAAAAAAATGAGTTGTCGTGGGATATCCAGCAGATGTGAAACATCCAAGAAAGGACTAGGATAAAAATTCGGCCTGGAAAACCTGTACCTAAGCCGGCACTTATGAATAAAAATATACTCAAATTACATAACCAATTAATACATTAATCCTTTAGTTAATCCTTTAGAGGTACTAGTTACTTCATTGATTATGTCATCTGTGTCTATATTATAAAGTACTTATTTTTCGACGGAAATTAGCATAAACGCCTCTAGTTTGGATTCCGATAGTTTGCTCTTTAATGTGTTTTTAATAAATTTTAATGTCGAAAATGTTCACTCACATGCTACCTACGCAAAACGCAAATGGTATGAATCAATATTTATAGTGTATTTAAATAATTTTGTAAAATATATATGTACCTGAGTTGATGGCACTATGGCAGTGTTAAAATATATTTGTATGCCAATCCTAAATTACTAGAAGTCCATGATACACATGGTTTAAATTTATAATTATTATTATTAAAATCTATTATTCTATAGGGAAACGGGTTGAAATGTTTTTCATCATAAGCAACAATATACGATACTTTTCACATTCTTTTATAAACACAAAAAAAAATTATCAACATCAACATATTTCCAAGCTTACATTTACAATTTTTTAAATTGTATCTGTTTCCCATTCGAAATGACTATGAAAATAAAATGATTATTTTTGATATCCTTAAAATCAAATTTAATTTTAGATTGTTGAACAACCTAGCTTAGTCAAGATATTAAGTTTTTATCATTCATTATAAGACTAACATTTTTTCCCGAATTTTCCGGTCAGTGATCTATATATATATATATATAGAGAGAGAGAGAGAGAGGAAGGGAGAGAAATAGAGAGATAATTGCCTAAGAGGTGCTAATATTTTAACAACACGTTGAATCACAATGAATTTACAAAATTGCTGAAGGCGTCGTTTGAACACAATTGTATTATGTACCAAATTGGTACGTACCTATATAGTACCTACTGCGTGTAGTAAATATTAAATATATATTATGAAACCCAATTATATTAAGATCCATGTAACATGAATACACGTGTACCTAAGGCCTATACCGACCACTTATTAAATAGATAGATACATCTGCATTTCTGTAATTTCCTTATCATTTCTAACAAATCTAAAATCACTGTTAAGCATTACATTTCATTTCATGAGCTAGAATGATATTACTAGATAATTATGGACTTCGTGAAAGGAAAAAAAAATAGATAGAATAAAATTGTATGGATAGTTTAAAATTCATGCCTTCACGAAAATACGAAATTAAAATTTTATTGTAGTCACATATTATTATGATTTACATAAATATGTATTATATTTAATTTATTCATAATCACATGAAATTTTAAAAAACGCACACTGGTTACTTTTATTTGTTTTGGAATAATCGACAAACAATATTCATCTATTCCTGTTCGGCATCGTAAAGCACACCTTTCTTTCTTTATTTAATTTTTGAACGACGATGTGCGTATCCGACCAAGTGGATCTTTCTAATTTTCCCATAAAAATAATTATTACCTGGCCCGCAACTACCATAAAATACGTATTAATGTGTACGAGTACAAGCACACCGATCTTTTATAGTGCCTACACGTATGTTATAGCGGATGCGCGTACATCTTACGCTAGTTTGTTAGATGAGTCAATTTAGTTTTACGAGCTGAAACCCAAAGTCATCGTGTTGACATTAATTGCCCGTGTCTACCGCGTCATCGAAGTCCAATAATTTTCATACAAGAGAGACAATCTCTTTGAAGAATTTCTTCACTCTTTTTGAGATCAAAACGTCTACGTTGGACATACCTTACACAGAATATTATGTCCGCACGAGCCGTTATTCGAGCAGTAACACGGTACCCGACGAAACACATTAATTGTCGGTCGTTCCAATTTCATTACGAAAAACCAACACGTCCGACAAACGATCTAGGACGGATGATCAATATTATGGGTATGAGTATTACGAYTATTACGATTTATACACGATGATGTACATATTATAGATAAATAGGTACCCCGAAAAGTGTACGTTTCGCATGGAATATATTAAATGAAACACATMTAATATTATGGTAYAGAACAATWATATTTACTAGTACATGGTAATTATTATTACGTTTTTTACCAAAATTATTTAACAATAACTCACTACAATTCTTGAGGGCGTGAGTTCCAGCGACCTGGTGTTGCCGAGCACTGGAGTCGTGGGAGCGCTTCCTCGGCGGCAGGCTTTTTCGTACGACGTGTCTGCAAAAACGATAAAAACAACGGTCAATATGATTATTTTTCTATTTTTATRCTTTTACGTTTTAAACAAAAAATACACATAACAATAATAATCAAACGAACGAGTATGTCKGACGGCGTGTGACTGTATTATACTAGACTATACGGCGATATTCGTTTTTATTTACTATATTAATTTTGGTTACTCTGATACTCTGTACGAGTTTTCGGTATTTTAGGTACCTAGCATTAGTTTATTACGTGGACGGTAAGTATAACTGCAACGAGACGTTTTTGACCGAGCGACACACGACGACACGACACAACTGGCGGACGAGCGAAAGCCAAATGATGTATAGAAAGCGCGGATAGATGCGTGCTGAAATGAAAAAAAACTCTCCACGACAGATTGATCATGCAGAACGTTGTCGTCGTCGTAGGTAATAATTTCTCCTCTATACGGTCAACAAATAATATCCTATAAGGTATACACACTCTCACGCGCGACCACTTATATAAATATTCATATTTCAAAGAGGTAATAATATAAACGGTGTTATTATTATGGGTATGAGCTAAAGCGCTCAGGTGGAGATCCATTTACGGGTTTGTTTCGAGGGGTTTTAAGCCGGCGAATTTTTAATACCAACGAACAATTTTCCGTTATCATTAAAAACGATGATATAATAATTATTTAGCGCGAACCAATACCGTCCTCATCGGCGATCAAAAAATTGTAATGATATGATTACGTATACTTTATAACTAACGGGACATTTGAATTTTTTCGATCACTACAATTTAACATTTTATTTTTTTAAATCCATGTAGCCGATTCCAAGAATGAAAAACCCTATATTGTGATGAAAAAGTACTCTAATCATAGTTTTTCTATCAAAGGTTTTAGTCTTCACATTGTAAAATATTACATAATAATATACCTAATGGTGGCGATGGTCCACACACATTTTTCATGTTTCGTAAGCGCAACGATTGCGTACTCTATTTGTGTGCGCACAATATTCCTCTTTTAGGGCACGACTGTAACCTATGGAGGGACAGAATGGACAGATTGCGTCCGTTGTCGTTTCAGACTTCAGTTGTCACGTACGAGCCGGCAGCGCGCAACGGGTAATTCGTCCGTATTTCATTTTTTTTTCAGTGTTGCGGGGGAGGGGTGTGGGTTAGGAATGATATACGATGAATTTTGATGATAATATATTATTATTATAACAAAATACAAAAGCGTCAACGAACTCTTGCGGTTCTTTTATTTTTTCCTACACGGCACTGTGTATATATTGTGTATCACATTGTATAGTGATAATACGCAGGACGACAACGTTTTTGTGTTGCGTTATCCAGTGACGGGCAGAGAGAGGCAGAGAGGGGGAGAGACAATAATAATGATAGTAATAAGATACTAAGCAATTTTTATACATTCTCACGTTTGAAAAACATAACTTTGTATCATTATCGACAATGCCGAATGATCCACCATCGATTGGTTATTAAATTGTACAATATAAGTTTCACATAACGTGTTAGTGTGCCCTTCCCACAACTACTCCCCTGACAGATAGTTTGTAAGTGAGAAATGTCGACTCTCTTTACTAAACATATATATGTTTTTATATTGTATTCTCGGTTGAGCAATATATATTAATAATAATATTAATCACACTCGCGAGCACGTAATTCCGACGCCGATATAAAACAATCGACTTTATTCCGCGACGCGTATCGTTTTGGAAAACGGTCGTCGGCATGTACATGCTGGCAGCTGGCGACCCTCGGCTATCTGTGTTTGACGATATATACATATATACATATTACATATATATATATTATATACAATTTTTATAATGGTATTAATAAACATGTGCGTACATTAGTGTCCCGTAAGTGTATTATATTATTGCCAGTTGTAATGAAAAACACAACGACGTACATATTATTCCTAAAAAGAAACCAWATAAATACAAGCTCATAGTAATATAYATTTAACTAATATAGTATTTTTTTAGCGTGTGTTAATATTTAGACATCCAATTASTATACATACCTGAATGGTTAAATATTTAACTTTATTAACATGGATTTATTTTGTCACCTTTTTTCCGAAGTAACCAAATATATACATAGGTATATTATATATATTATGGCCAACAAAAATTCGGAACGGAAAACGTTTTTTTTTTTTTTTTTATGAGTTATTGTTATTATATAAATATGCTTATACCTATTATATAATTAACATGGATATATTATTATGTATACACGGTAAATTAGTTCGAACACTTGACACACAATGATATGATGATGTTATATATTACATACAAATAATATTATGCATTCAGCCATCATACCAATTGAACATTTTGTACACATCTATAAAATGTATTTTTTTGACATTTATTAACATGAGTTATGAATCATAATTAAATCATTTTTTAAGACAGTACAGCATGAAATCTTATTAAAATCACACACAATGTAATATATTATACAATTTAATGTACTTATGATGTGGAAATTATGTTTCGCGACTCATCACGTTATATTTATCTTCAACGATCAAAATATGCTTTTAAAAAACCGTTTTATACAAAATATGTATCATGTTGTGAACGCGAGTCGAAAACAACATCGAGGGGCGGAACCATATCGCGCGGTAAAGATTGGTGACAACAGACGTAACAGCTGATAGGAGTGGGGGGCAGGAAATAGACCTTGACTCTATAGTTTATTAACAATTAAAAAACCGACTAACCTTTCAACGTCTGAAATGCCGCTTCGATTAGATTTGTTTTAAACGATCAACGCTCACAATCGTGAACACTAGCGAGTACAAAGTTTTTGATGTTATGTGACTTAATATTGACGAAATGTAAWTTAATGGCAAGTTGAAGAGTGCTAAGATGAAAAAAAGTAATGTTACGTCCGGTATTAATACGCGCGGGATTCGTTGGGCGTCGTCGTGTCCACGTACCTATTTATGATTTGTTTCATATTTATATTTTCTCGATGTTAAAAAGCACCACGTTCCATGGCGAGCAGACGAGCAGTAAACAAAGCCGGTGTAATGGTGTATTTAAAATAATATAGATTGTTATGTTTAAAATGTTTAAATACTAAATAGTCATCAGTACAAACGGTCTACATTATGTAATTAATATTGTTTAAGTACACATACAATCTATCAGAGAATTCAAACGAAATTGATCGTTCTTAATTATTATTATACCGAACACTCGGCCTCCAATTGTTTTGGACTCGACTGAGACTAAACGAGCACGTTGAAGTTCGTCGGATGTTTATTTGAGCGTCGATGTMACGAAAAATAAAAATAAATAAATTATGTGACCGCGATATTTCGTTTTCGACACCACCCGTTAATTTTAATTTTATGAGATTTCAGAGAACGAGTAATAATAATAATTATTATCATGTTTCAATGTAATATTTTATAATACTGTTTTTGGTATACTAAAAATTAAAATACAATAAATATGTATACGGTTAAATGGGTACTATTTACAGTACATCGAGTCTACACTATACGTCGCTTTGTTAGTGTAATTGCTCATAATTTTTCTCSGCGGCTAATCGCCTAATCCACTCCACTACTATTATAATATAAACGATATTTTTTTCGTTATTTCCGTTTTTTTTTTCTAGTATGTGTTGTTTATTGCACAATGTACTATAGACGTTTAATTGAACCTTAAAATGTCCATTACGCACATTTAACACGAGCATCACTGAAAATACAACCATTCGCGTTTCACGCATTGTTAACGTATTTAGAATAGACAAAAATACACTCGAACAAAACAGGTTTGTGAGATAAAAACGTTTTATTTGAACCCGTTTAGAGCTTATAGAAAAWTTTTTAAATAATAATAATATTAAATTTATCAACTGGATTATCGATTAATACTATTGGCTATGGAATAAACAATGTTTTTTCAAAGTGCAGACCCTGCGAGACGCACGGTTTAATKGGTGGAGGGGGAGTGGAGTGTAAACCATTCGGATGAATACGAAAAATAATAATGTTTTTGTTATTATTTTGGCAGACCATTCTAAATCGTTCCACGCTGCAACTTTATCAAGTTTCGTATTTGTAACCTTATTTTTATCAACCGACATGTTTTTTAAAATMATTTTATTTATSTCCTCAATTATTATCGTTTTTATTAATTATGATTATTCATTTTAATATTTCGTCCTCTCCACCAGAACAAAAATCAGAGTAATCAGACGCGTCGAGACCGAATTACGGGGTACATACGATAATATTATCATGGTTCATGACGCATACAACAATAATAATATAAAATATCGGTATAATTATATTATTAATATATCCGAGGACAAGTCGAAAATCCCATTCTGATGTTGGAACAGGAAACAAGAGTTTCCTGGATTTCTACCGGATGGAACGGCGAGTGGTGGAAGAGAGAAAGAGAAGTGACCGGAGATCCTCTACATCGCGTTACGCTTTACGCAACAGCCAACGTTCCCCAATTGTATGCTGGTTGCGTGTTCACGGGATACGTCATGTCAAAAGAGTGCAAAAAGTAGCTGCAGTCGGTCGGAATAAACGGCTTGAAACGTTTTGGTTGAAATTATAAAAACCTAATGCGTTCGGTTTGGTAGTATGTGCATTATCATATAATGAGTCGTACAGAAAGGGTCGCTGCAGGGGAAAGAGGCACGTCGGCGTACGACGTAGGTACACATAATAATAATATAATAATCATAAACACAGTACACACATAAAAACGACCCGCTGTATAACCGGTTCTGAACCATAATAACATGATTCCGTAAGATACGAAAACCAGTATAGGTATGCCTACACACACACACATACACACGGTTGTCGGCCGTTTCACACAGACCGGGTGGACAAAAATATCATAAGAAGAAAGAAAGGAAAATGGAGATATTATTATACCTCCACGACCGGTTACCGGACATGTATGTGTGGTTGCTACTATAGCTTGCTCTGC